TTTATAGGTAGTGCTTCATTTTTTTGAAACAGTAAGTTTTGAACAACTACTTTAAAAAGAATTATAATGTTAACAAGCATTACATGTTCTAGAATGGGGCACAAATTACTGCTCTTTCGGTATGTTGTGAAGATACTGATCATCTTTTCCCAAGAAGAGACGATCATTATTTTAAGGCCCTTTTGGTGGAGTAGAGGTCAGCGAAAGCCTAGCTAATCATTCTTCTGAAAAAGTCAACTGTGGACCTTTGAGTTGGAAATAGAGAAAGGGTAGCATTATTCAAAAGGAATATATCAGTTTCCATGTATATTATAACATGCACAAATGCTGATATTTAATCATTTTGATGACAACATTTTGTTTTGTATTCATTAGCAAAATTCAACAGTCTGTTCTCTGCCTGACGTGTGCAGAACTCTTAGAGCCTCAGGGATTTGTTGAATGCCCTTGATATTCAATGAAATTCTCTCCTTTTTAATTTTCATTAAGAAAAAAATCCAGGGCCATAATGTTTTTATTTCTTATGTTATATGCCTAAAGAGAGGGGAGGCCAATGTAGCAAATTTGAAACGTTTTTTTTCTTTAAAACACATATTATTTGCTGTATGCCACCACAACTTCTCCTTGGCATATTTGGCTACAGGTTCCTGGACATGAAATAGGATGAAGTTTAATAAAAATGCAAAAAAGTTCTTTTAGGGCTGCTTCAAAAGCCAAATCAGACTACCATGTGTATTTTAGGTAAAGATCTGAGTAGTGAAAGGAAGATCTTTAATGCCAGAACAGTAGGAATTTTGTCCTTGTAAATGTGAATGGATCATCTGCTAAGAAGGTGGTCGTTGTCTCTGTGGACATCTCTGCAGACAGCTGTGATCAAACTTGGATTATAAGGGGTTTAGCCGCCATATAAAGCTCTCTGCTGTTTCCTCTGGGACAAGTTTCTGTATAGTAAACTGCCTTCTGGACACAGTCAATGTATCTCTTTTCTGAAGGGGCCTCTAGCATGGTTAACCACATCTTGATAAGCACAGTTTGAGCAGGAGTCAATGTGAATCTGTGTTGTTGTGACTTGTGTTGTTGGCCACTCAATTGGAGGTCTCTGTGATACCATTACAAATCATGTTTCTCATTACAGAAATCTCACTACAGATTTATTTAAGCAAGAGCAGGACAAACTTTACTAGTTTAATCTATAGTGTTTTGTAATCTTGGCTATAGCTGTAACCCTATATTGAAGTGAGGAAAAGAAATTCAGCTTGTAAAATAATGTGGTTCTTCACCAGGTTAAAATACTGAGAAGTGCAAGTATAACATTTACTAGCTTGTGGGCATGGATCTAGTCAAACAAATCATTGATAGCTACCTCGGATGACACTGAAGTGAATGGGTTTGTATAGGGGATGAACTCATCCACCACTTCAGCTCCTTACAAGATGATTTAAGGAAGCTGGCACTGCGCCGGCAGGTAGTGCTGCCCTGTTGCCAGCAGCATGGTTACCATCCTGCTCAGGTGACGTTATGAAAACAGGAAAAGACTAGCCCGCTCAAGCAAAAGTAGATAGCCTAGTATTCTTCCAGTTTGTTTTAAAACCAGAATTGAGAGATTTGATTACTGAGTTTAGAGGCTTGTCAATGATTGTAGGAGAAACTGGAAAAATGGCCTGTGGTTGTAGTTTACATGATTCTCTTTCTTTTTATTAGTAGATCTAAGCAAGACTCCAGTACCAAAAGAATAATAAAAAAAAAAGACCTTTTCTGTTTAGTTGATGAATATGAGAATATTCTTAAAATGAGTGCTTTTTAACAGTAAACATAATGGGAATTTATACTGCAATGAAAAGGAACAGTTAAAACTATTTTGGGTATGCGTACCAACTTTGTAGCTTCTATTTGTCTGCTAATGTTCCTAGTAGCCTGAGTGAGCTGTGATTTCAGGGTCTTATTTTGGATTTGGTTTTGATTTTGCTGTTTGAATGGTCTGTTCTCAAAATATTTTTTTATTATTTTTTTAATTTTATTGACAAGTGGTTACCTATTCATATGCTTGCTGAGTGAGAGGTCTCTCTCTTGGGGAGACCTGAAAGAAACCTGTACCGGCAGGGGAAAACTGCAGAGCCTCTCTTTCCTTGAGGAAGAGCTTCTCTCTTGGGTCAGTGCTCAAGTATCTGTGCTCTATTTTAATGTTTGTAATAGTTTTTTTAATAGAGCTTTGAAGATTGGAGATCTAAAAAGTGAACTTAATAGAGCTGAACATCTATGATACTGCAGACAGTCTGAGGGGAAGTAATTACTTCTCTCCCAAATTATTTAAATGTACTTCTTCCGATTTTACGCTGAATGAAAATTTACGTTGAAAGCTGATCAAAATGGTTCCATGGCTTTAAAATATCCAGCTGTATAGTTTTAAAAACATTGGGATTTCTTTCTGGTATATTCTAGAGGAGAAAATAAACACAAGTCCTGATGCATGACATGGCTGAAGGCATAAAACGCTCAGTACTGACCTTAGGTTGCACCAGTGGAAGGTGGATTTGCTCTCAGTAAAATTAATAGGCTAAAAGAGGCTGCGATCGTGAGCCTCAGCTGGTATCAGGCTGTTCGGGCATCAGTCAGCAGGATCTAGAATAACCAAAATACTGAGTCAAGATACTCCTGAATTTTGAAGTTTGGACCAGAGTCTAAACCTCATGTTTGCTTCTGTAAGAAGTTGGATAAAGAGCTCTCTCTGAACACCCAAAGAAGTGACTGAGATCTCACTTTGCGTATTGAACATCCACCGTATTGAACATCTGCAATGTTCCTATGGGAACACAGGAATAATATATGGTAACTTAACTACCAGTATGCAGCTGAACGTTGTCATCTGTTTCATCTGCTCCGTTTCTGCAGTGCCTGCGGCACAGTAGCGTGCTGGTGTAGTTACCACTTGACAATCCTTTAGCACCTCTCCCTTGCTGTCAAGGTGGCTGAAGTTTTGCATTTCTACTGCACCTTCGAAAAGAAATGCAGAGCAGTTGACCTAAGCAGCCTCGTGCAATAGATGAGTGTAAACCTGAATTACAGATAAGGAAGCTGAGGTGACAGAATTTCCTTCCTTGTTTGCTTTATTGGAGTCCAAGAAAGGCACGGCGGGGCACGCGCCTGGGGTCTGTGAGCAGATGTGTTGGCTGGATATCGTCTGCAAAAGGTGGTTGCCTTGGCAGGAACAGAGAACTTTATGTGATTAAAAAGGGTGGGATGAAAGGGAGGTCTAGGCCACCCTCCTGCTTATTTCCTCCTTTTGCTTCTACTGAAAGAAATTAGCTATGCCCAAAGCAGGGAGAAGCGATTTCGGCAGTGTGAGTGGTCTCTACCCAGTGCAAGGTTTTTTACCTTGCAATGCACGCTTATGTGCTACTCTGGTCTGTGAAGCATGTGGAGCACTTTGTGTGACTTTCATGTTTAACTTGTCAGAAAATGCTAGTTTTACATGTTCTTACTGCTTTTATCGTGATCGGTTAATGGTTTTTCAGCAACGTTGTCCGTCTTCCTTTTGAATCCTTGTGTTCCCCTTGAAGGGAATGCCACTTAGTAACTTTGCTCTGTGAGGCCTTAGCAGGGCATGTCACGCGATGGCCGTTTGCCACACCTGCCTTGTGCCTGAGCTGGGCCACATGCCCGTTGCCAAAGGGCCAGGAGCTTTACAAGAATTAGCATCGGGTGCCACCTTGGAGCAGAAAAGCTAACTTGGCTTGGCCTGGCACCAGAAATCAGAACAGGCTGACCTCGAGTTGATGATTTTGGGGGGGGGTGCTGAGGGGTAGGAGGTTAAGGATTAGTAACGGACTCCTTTCTGAAGAAAGATTGACATTTTGGGCCTTAACCACTCCATTTGATCTGAGGAGTGAATGACCTCATAGGATTCACGCTAAGCCACGGGGATCCAAAAGAAACAAAATCAGTCTCTTGAAACGTTTGTCAACGTGCTGAGCAAAAGATAAGAGACAAGTTGTGTTTCTATGTACATATATATGCATTGTCTGTTAAATAGTGCGGGGGGTTTTGAGTTGAAGAAAGAATATCATTTTAATGGGTACTACTTCCATATGGGCACACTCTAAGAGTTAGAAATTATTTATTTAATTTCTAAAAATCTTTTCTGGAGTGCTGTGTTTTAGGGAATTTGATTAGGTGGTTGTGTCATGGAGGATGTTACTGGGTTAAAGCTTGTTTAGTGTTTCCTGGCACAGACATCAAAAATGCTGAGAAGTGTCCTGTACGTTGCTTAAAGCTTGTCTAAGCTTTACTTCAGATGCGATACCTTGTCTTGTTTTGTAGCTCTTGTACGTGTGCTTGAATTTAGTTTTAATTAGATTTTAATTAATACAAGCATAATGATCTGAGATGCAGAATGCCTTTTTCTGTTGTAAAACTTTTTTTATTTTTCCATGTTCTGAGTAAATGACAGTACTTAAATTAATAGTACGTGCTTCAGAATATTGTTTAAAACTTAATCTTTCAAATTTGTAAGCAGCATATTGCAATATATTTATAATTATCGGGCCTGAAGAAAGCTTATATTCATATTCATCCCATTATCCATTCTCATGTTTAAGCACGGTTTGTAATTCCATTAGCAAAGAAGCAGCCTGACTGGTGCAGAGTAACTTGCGAGTCTGAGGTTTTATTTCTATAGGAATTTTAACCCTCAACCTTTATCTTTGCCTCTGTTCCACATGGCAAGGCAAAAACAAAATCTTAAATTGGCATTTTCTTTTAATCTTGCAACAAAACTTTGGTTCTTTGTTGCAACAGTCCATCATCGTCATTCTCGACGTGTACATTTAAAGTATGGGACTACTTCCCTCTATTTCCTGGGAATCGGAATTGACTGCCGTACTTCAAATCTCATTCAAACTTATGGAGAGTTTCCACATATATCTATTAGCACCTGCCTTTCCCTAAAAAGCCCATTTCTAAACACTTGGTGTTTTGACTTTGTGTTTTTCCTTGTGTCGTAGGTCTTTAAATACTCTGCACCAGTTTTGCTGTCCAGCTCCATTGTACCATACCCAGCTAGCTGTCCCTGCCACACACTCAGAGTACAGGTAAGAGTAGATATGGTCCACCCACTTGCTACTTTTGCCGACAGATCTGGCGTTATCATTTGACATAAGAAAAGGAATAGTGGATCGAGTTAAAAATGAGTATTATCTCAAACTTATCAAACCAATTTTTAACTTTATGTAGGATAGTCCTATTCGCTTCTCAAGTGCTGTTGAGTTATCCATTAAAATTAACGTACTTTAAAAAGCAAATTCCCCAAGACTCTCTGAAAGGTAGGAATGAGCTAATTGTAGCTTTAGTTCTCATATAACCAACATATTAAGGCACATAAATGATATAAAAATTTAAATAAGATATTAATGTTGTTCTGAGCAACACTTTTTCATCCTTGAATACTTCATGACAGTATATGAGGTACGCCATATATATGGTTCTCTCAGGGTTAAAGTCATGGACCTGTAAAAGCTGAACGTTGCCTTTTGGTTTTGGAAGTAGGGGAATTTATTTATAAAGAAGCAGCCCTCAGTGCTGAGCAGAATCAGTCCTACATATATCAAAAATATACAATATACAGGTAATAATACTTCATTTAACATAGGTGTCTTTATTGAATGTGTTTTACAAGCTCTCTTCAATCCGATATGGACAGCAATTTTTACGCATCTTATGCATCAATGCGTCATTGTCATTGCCAGAGCGTTTATTGTGGGTCTTTAGAGACTTATCGAAGGACAGGTAACTGATGTAATTGGACATGTGAAAACATAAGGAAGCATGCAGAGCATGAACAAGCTAAGTTGTCTTTTATTTTTAAGTTTACTATTAGTGAATAAGTGTGTGATAATTGCCAGCTCATGAATAATATTAATATTGAAATATTGGAAATCTGGTGCTGAAAAATCAACTCACTTTGCACTGGTAATAAGGAAAGACAAAAATCAGCAATGAATCCTAAATCTGTAAATGCATAAACATACTTTTCCATTTCTTAATCTTCCATGTCTCAGTCATCTTTAACCACGTCTGTTTTCATTCACTCCATTTTACATTACAACATTTATTTGTCTTTATGTTGTTTTTTTCTGCCATCAGAACTCTGCAGTTTGTCTCTAGCGGTAGCGAATCCATAGCCTAGTTGTAAGGCACCTTAGTGTTCCTTTCCTAAGGAGCAGAGGCCCCCCGTTCACTTTTTAATGAGGCTTTTATTTTCCTTTCTCCTTAGTTTACCTTGCCTTAATTTTAAGGATTTGTTAAGAGATCTTCCTGTGGGGATGTTGACGCAGATGGGAAAACTACATAAGAATTTTTCAATATCTTGCCTTATGTGATTTATTACTTGTCTCTAATAATTTTATGTCTTTGAAATTAAAATTTATACCAGCGTAACTTCATGTTTAAAATGCCAAACTCTTCTAGCTTTAGTTCTTTTGTATTTGTATCTTTGTGCAGTAAGAAAATAAATGCCATGTGTGGTTAGATCTTTAAAGCATATACAGTATTTAGAGTACTAGCATATGAAGAGCACAAAGTGTAGATCTTGACAGCGCCCAGTATATGCCTCTTAGCTTTTGTTTGAGGATTGAGATAGGTGAAGGAACCCGTTGCTGACCTTGTTTGCTCTCAAGGAAGTTTAGGTCTCAAACTTTCCAACTATTTATATGTGTGCGTGTGTGCATAGAGTACACTGCCATAACCCAGAATCAATGGAGGTCTGAGATTTTTCAGCAGCTCGTAAGAGGAAGGAGCGTTGCTCAGATTCAGCTAATGGGAAATGAATTTTTCAATGGGTTGGTTGCTGGCTGCCAGGAAAGCGAATGTGGTCTACCTCCCCCTCATCCTTTGCTAGTTGACCAGCCTATGTCTACCAGAAGTGCATGACCTGTGCGAACTCGTAGCCTTGTTACAACCGATTAGACAGAGTTTGGGGATTAGATGGAGCTTTCTTTTCTTTTATCTCCACCCCCGCACCAGTTACCTAGGCTAAGAGGAGATTTTTGCGGAGGGCGCAGTGAGGCGGTGGCGTGCTGATGTGGCGCGGGTGGCTGGCCTAGCTGGGCTGTCAGCAAGGAGGTAGCCTGTGGGTTGGGGAAGCAGCTCTGCCTTCCTGTCAGCCCTTGTGCAACTGCCCCTGGAGAGTGGCCAGCTTCTGCCTTCCTGGGGAGCAGAAGGGCACTGGAGCGAGCCTGGTGGAGGGCCACCACGATGGCCAGGGGCTGGAGCGCGTGACCCGTGTGGAAAGGCTCAGAGGGATCCGCATGCTGTGTTCAGCTGCGCAATGGGAGCGCATAGGCGAGGGGGGCCAGGCGCTCCTACGGAGGTGCACGGTGGCAGGCCAAGAGGCAACAAAGACTGCAGTAAGGCCAGTTCCAGTTAAATATCAGGAAAAAACTTTCACCACGAAGGTAATCAAAACACCGCAGCGGGGGTCAGGAGAGGAGGTGCTATTTCTATCTTTGGCAATACTAAAAACTCAACTGGACACAGCCCTGAGCAGCTTGATGCAATTGGTCCTGCTTTGAGCAGGGGGCTGGGCTAGATACTTGCAGAAGTCCCTGC